AGAGAGAGAGAGAGAGAGAGAGAGAGAGAGAGAGAGAGAGAGAACAGCCAGACAGAAAGAGATACAGACACAGAGAAAGCGAAAGAAGTATCCTCTGGACAGCGGAGAACGACGACGAAGAAAACGGAAGGAGAGACGACGATCAGCGATTATGTTTGGACACTTACACTGGTATATGTGGGACGGTGCAATGGAGGAAACCACGGAGATGCTGTCCATGTCGAGACCGCTCCCCTCGACCGTAATTGTCGGCGTGCCTGCGCGGAAATGTACAACGTATAGCCAGGAGGGAGGAAAAAAAAATAGAACAAGAAAACGAACGCGAAATTTTGCGTACGCGCGCGCGTTCGTCCCTCGACTTACGGCGCACGGGAGGGCCAAAAAAGGAAAAAAGAAAAACAAGGAAAAAACAAGAACGAGCGATAGTTTCCGTAGACGAATTTCAATTTCCGTTTCATCATTCCGCGCGTGTATGTTTTCCAGATCCCCGGATTTGTCAACGAAAAGAAAAAGCCGCCGAGTGCCGGCAAAAATGGTGCTGTATTTGAGGACGGGCTTTGTAAACGCGGGCGCTGGACACGTCGGTTCTAGGATCGCGCGGCCTTCGTGCGCGAGATATAACAATCACTTAATTTTTCAATTTGAAAGTTTTAACAAGCGCGGTGGAAGCGATACACGGGTGGGACGACGTGCTTCGAGATTGCGAGCCCGGAGATGCGCGCACGGCAATGCGAGACTCGCACATTTTTATTCCGATGCTCTCCTGCAGCGTGTTTTCCTACATTTTTTAATTTGAAAGTTTTCTATGTTTCCAATTTATTCGTAGCATCGCCATATTATTGCTTATATATATATATATACAGGGTGTCCAAAAATGTCTCGCAATCCAGAAATGGCGGGTTCCTCGGCTCATTTGAAGCAACTTCTTCCTTTCCAAAAATGTTCTCCGAGGCTTCGTTTACGAGTTATTAACGAAAAACAGTGACCAATCAGAGGCGAGAGGCTGGCTGGCGCGACGCGGCCGCGCCAATCAGTGGAACTGGGCGTCGTCCGCTCGTTGGCGGCGCCGCCCTGCGCCAGCAGAGCTCGTCTCTCATTGATCACAGTTTTTCGTTAATAACTCGTTAACGGTGCCTCGGAGAACATTTTTGTAAAGGAAAAAGTTGCTTCAAATCACCTATATATAAGCAATAATATGGTAATATATGCTTTCATAAAATAAACTGTAATTTCCACGCCCTCATACTATGATTGGAAAAGCTAGGAGAACATTCCAGAAATCTATTAACCTAACTAACGCTATAACTAACAAACGTAACTAACTCGCTGAAAACAATCATGTACACCCATAATAGTATAATTAAAATAGAATTTTTGCTAAAATCGAGCGAAACGTTAAAACACTCAACGATCGATTTCAACCATTTTTCCACACGCGAAGAAAATGATTCGATGCTCAATGCGATTCATCCACCGCCTATCTCTATTAAATATTAAATTTAATTATCAAGTCTCGTGTTCTCGAGCGAAGCAAACTGTGCACGCTCGTTCGCTATCGATCGATTTTAAAACGAAATGTAAAATACCCATATATGTGTTGAAGTAACCTCTCATCGGTAATTATTATTTTCTCTGTCCACGGTTGTGAAAGACCGATCGAAAGGTATTATTCCATCCGTGCGGAGATATTTTTATTAAGACGATATTACCGAACGATTGAACGAAGCGAGAGAAACGAGAAGGTTCGAATCGAAGTTCTTACGTGGCGAAAATTATGCGTGGGATCGGCGTTAATTAGACCGCGGATTTTATGCATCCGTAACAAAAACGAGCGGATCGGATGCAGAGAACAGGAAACCCGTGTAAACGTAAAAAAGAGCTCGCGGATACTACCGTGATCGTTCCAGTTCGTTAAAATTGTTTAAAAAAAAACAATATATGAAGAATACAAAGCATATAAATGTTCGTACGGTTCAATAAATGCTTCCGATAAATGCTATCGATAAATGCAGACAACTTGCACGTTGCACAAAAATCCGCGGTCCGGCGTTAACGTTTCGATTTTCCGATTCAATAACGGTCCGAAACAATAACAAATACCGTTTGGTCGTAAATAATTGCCACACTGTTTTCTACTTCGAGGCACAGTAAATTCTCCCTAGATTTCCTTCAGCTTGCGAACGAAAGTGGACAATTCGCGGAGAAGAAGATACGATTATTCGAGGCTCTCGGCTCATTTTTATAGCTTCGTAGCTTCGTAATTCGTCAACGATTATAAAAACGAGGTGGTGCAAGGCTCGACTAATCGCATCCGCTCTTCCGAAATTCTCTATTTTCGTGTATACAATACAATCTGACGGAAAAATTCCGAGAAATTCGCAGTATTTGGGCGGCGTCTAGCCGCGGCTCGTTTCGCGGACGGAGCGCAGCGTTTCGGGATATTCGACGGAAAATTCACGCACACGCGTGCCATCGGCGGCGAAGTATGTTTGTCCTAGACGAAATCGATCAATCCGTTTTAATGCACGGACACGGCGAGCCCCGGGCTGAATAATACATGAAGGAAATGCGCTCGATTAGCCCGCCACCTACGTTCGGCTAACATTCGCGGTTGACGGAGCTATCAGACTCTGCGCTCCGTTCCTCTTTTGCCCTTTTTTCTCTCTCTCTCTCTCTCTCTCTCTTCCTCTCTCTCTCTCTCTTCCTCTCTCTCTCTCTCTTTCTCTCTCTCCCTGTGTGTTCTCTTTTTGCAACGCTCCACGCCCCGACGGATGCACCGTAATGCACTTTAACTAGGCGATTAATCTTGCCGCTGGTCGCACACCTAAGCGCAGGAATCGCTTGCGAACCGGCCGCGTCCCGAACCGGCTGACATTCGGATGAATAATAATGCCGATTACGTAGTTACGCGTCGCTCGAGTTCATTCGTCAAGACGATTACCGCCCGGACGACTTCTCTGCGCGATTACGCCGCATTTACGGGTTAATTAAAACGAGCGCGCTCCGCGGCCACGGGCCCTGTTGCTTCGCCGTTGCCGCCAGCATCTTTCTTGTCCGCTCAGCCGTCTGCTGGAAACATTTTATGCACCGATTCGACCATCGGCCGGCGATTTATAACCGGTCATTTAGACGCGGCGCAGCTTTAATCGTTTAATCATCCGAGCTACGGAAATTGGATGAAAGGAACCGCTGTTCCGAGCGAGAGACTGATAGATCTAGAAGAAGAATCTTAGCAATAATGTGTTTCGATGAATCGGTGAGCGAAGCTGATGCGATTAGAACGATTAGAATCGTCGTTAAAATTGATGTGATTTTGGACGGCGGAGTTTTAGGCGAAATAGAAATGCTCGAGGACAAGAATTGCTCGAAGACAAGAAGCTCGATTGGAAGGAACGGAAGTTAATTGAAAATTAATTGCCTTTTTTCTCTTGGTAATTTTGATACGTCGAGAGCTGATCAATTGAAATAGAATGATCGAATACTTCTCGTGTCTTCGCGCGACGCGATCGCAATGGAGGAAAAAAAAGAACATGTTCCCACACTATTGTTCAAGGGAAGAGACTCGAGATGCTTCGGTAGTCGCAACAGCTGTCCACGTCGCTCTTGCAACCCATATGTTACGAGTCAGGTGCAAGTGGAACGGGACTAGCTATCCGTTACGGAGCTCTCCTTTCGAAAGCCAAGCTATTGTATTCGCGAAGACGGGTAAATTCGTGCGCCGTGCTTCGGCGGTACGCGTCGCTCAAAATTCGGAGAAACGTTCGCCGAATTTTCTAGATACGGAACGAACCGGTTCGCCGATGCGAGAGACAGCTTTTTCTGATCTGTCGATCGGAACGATCGACTGCGATTTCGCGAATTTTTGCTATTCGATTTCAATAAAATTAGAAAATAATCCTATTCGTAAATACTACATTACGCAAATAATAATAATAATTATGATAATATTATAATATATATTATATATCATTTAATAATAATATATAATAATATTATATAATAATATAATATATAATAATATTAATATAATTAATATAATTTAATAATAATTTTATATTGTATATAATATATGTTATAATCTATATAATTATAATAATACTACACTACGTAAATAATTCGTAATACTACTCGTACATATGATTGGATTATTTTCTAATTTTACTGACACAATCTTAGCACTTCCCTCTTGCTATAGACACCTAAATTGTTCTAAAAAATTTAAACACTTACTCTTGACATATTTCACGATCTAAGAATAAGAAATCTCGCCGTTCGAACGCTTTCGTTGGTCACTGCAGAATCGCTCTGAAAAGCAGGCGCCGCAGCTAACTTGGTTAACCAGAAAAATCGAATCGGAATCGATGATGATCACTGCTCGCAAGTGCGCGCGAGAGAAAAAAAAAAGACGCCAGCGATCTCGCCGGCTCCGGCATTCGTGTACGGTCCCGGCCGTGGAAGATAGGAAGTCGATTCGCTGCGGATGAAATGAATGTCACTTACCATCGGTGGTGGAGTCCGATAAATTGCCGCCCACGCTGGTTGCGCCCCCGCTCTCCCGATCGCTCGATCCCCGGACGCCGCTGTCCGCGCTGCAGCTTCCTCGATCGCCCGCCTGTCCGCCGGATGAGCCCGCACCTGCCGCATTCCCGACGTTCCCAACAGTCACTCCTAGTTCTGTGCTGCCTAATGGCGGTTGAGAATTCATATGAGGGATGATACCACAGCCACCGCCGCCGCCCCCGCTGCTGCTTCCGGCGCCCGGCGTCGCCGCTCCGTTCACGCTGCTCCTCGGGAACGAGACCAAGGACTCCTGGTCGCTCAGACAGATTCCGCCGCCGCCCCTTTCCGCCAATTGACGCTGCAACTGTTCGCAGAGAACACGGATGAGAGTTCGCGATTTTTTTATCCGGCGCCCGGGCGACCGAACGCCGAAAATCGGTCGCCGATTCGAGGAAAAATTCGACAGAAATTGGGAAAAGATGCGGTAAAAATGGGGAAAAAATGCGGTGAAAATTCGGTAAAAATTCGGTGAAAATTCCTCGGGGATCTAAACATTTCGTTGGCTTTCCAATAATATTTTTTGTCCGGCGCATTGGCCACTATGGAAGGGTGAACGAGTCGAAAACAGCGGATGTTTCGTTCGGCGGAGCAGCGATTAACTTTTATCAGGAGGCGCGCGAAAGCCGCGGCCCGAATTTCCGCGTGTCCGGCGAGGATAGTGCATTGTAAAACAGCTGATTAAATTACGGAGCCGCGGTTACGTTCGCCGGAACGTACGAGAACGACTTCCGTCTAACGAAATAGCCTAGAACGTCGCGCTTGTCTCTCTGCGCGAGAGCCGCGAGACGAGGCGGGAATTTTCAGGCTGTGCGTGACTGTTGAGCACAACATTCCGGGACGACCCTCGAGCCATCAGTTTTAAACTCGTTAGCCGGAGCGCGGCCCCGTTTATGCGCTACGTCGAGGACAATTTGAGGGCTCAAAGCGGCCTCACCCTCGTACCGTAATTGCATGCGCGCGCGAAAGAAATGCTTCTTACCCGGCTGCCCGTAATAACGGCGCGGCGATCGATCGCCGATACTCTTCGGAACGCACCCCGCGAGTGTTTCCACCCATAAAAAGAACTTTACGCCGCGCCGGTGTTCGTCTAAGTAACGGAATTACACAGTCGCCGGGGCACGCTCGATTTAACCGAATAACCGCCGAAGTTATTTCCCGACCACGATAATTAGCCGAGACTTTATTTTCTGATAGCGCCGGGGACCGCCCGGTTTTTTGTGCCGCTCGGATACGTTCCACCGTGCGTTGGCTTGCCAACCGTCCTCTGTTTTCTATTTTTTCCTTTTTCCTTTTTGGAAAGGACTGTCCTCTCGTCGGATTTCCCGTCCGCGTACCTTTTTCAGTTTGGAAAAATACACCGAACGTAAATATCGAAATTAAAAGTTTCTCGCGGATGGTGACTTTAAATTACAGTAATTTCTCCCCAAATTTGTTTTAGCTTGTAAACAAAAATTTACTATTTAGGAAGGGGAGATACGATTATTCGAGGTTTCCGGTTCTTTTTTATAATTATATGTAACTGCCGATTGTCGACGATTATAAAAACGAGGTGCGAGGCTTGAGTTTTATATAATAAACAAATTTAATATAATAAATGTAACGCTGTAGTTTAATATAATTACACTGTAATTTACTGTATTTCTCTGCACGATAAATTACTTATTTCGGAGAACACTTTAACTTCGAGGAAAATTCTGCAATTGGCAAATTTTGTCGAGTCTTAGGTTGTTAAACAATTCTTTCTCGGTGTACAAGTACTCTGTCGATTTCTTAATTACCGGAGATTCTAAAAGTGAAGCTGGATTTCTAGATTCATAGAAGTTTCGAGGAATTGTTTGTTCGAATATTGACTCTAAAATTCCAAGAAATCAATTCAAATAATTATTCCAACAATGTTCGAATAACGAAGGGATTAATGGAAATATATTTTGTAGCGTCCTTTATTGCGACAGAGTTGGCAAACGTGGCCGCGCGAGACCGACTAAAAAATATTGTTGCCTGCAAGAGAGAGCACTTCCCGGAAAGCATCCCCTAAGTGGCCGCCGTAAAGAAGATTCGATCGAGTCTTAATTATGCCGTAGTTTCGAATAATTCAGAACCACTCCATTTTTAGTGCACCTAAAATATACTTCGAGCTTCTCGCTTAGCTGCTTTTATCCGGGAACAGAATTTACGAGAACAGTCTGACCTTCGTAATGGGAGCTTGCTCGAAACGAAGCTGAAACGACGATGCTCTCGTAGCCAAAGGTGAAATCAAGCTTTCGCCAAAGGTCACGAGATTCGAGGCAATTTTTTGAAATATCCGGACCATCGAGTTCCATTGAAAATATTTCCCTTTGACTCGTAAAATACGTACAAATGCGACTACAATAGGTTCTCCCTAATTGACGCTTAGATTGTACACAAAAATGGACAATTTGGGGAGAGGAGATATATATATATATATATAATATAATATAATATATAATATAATATATATAATATAATAATATAATATATATAATATAATAATATAATATAATAATATAATATATATAATATAATAATATAATATAATAATATAATATATAATATTTTTATATAATAATAGATAATATATAATATTTTTATATAATAATAGATAATATATATTATATATTATTTTTATAGTTGTTAAAAATCGATAACTATGAAAACGTACATATATGAACGTATAATATAATGCATCTATAACTTAATATAATATAATATAACGTAATATATTGTAATATAACGTAATATACACATTAATTAACATATTACAACGTAATAGAACGTATATATAAAAACGTATATGAATAATCGTATCTCCTCTCCCCAAATCGTCCATTTTCGTTTCGAAGCAGAGCGTCAATTAGGGAGTACTCACTATAACGACAAATTTCGTGGATTTTCGCGCAGTCGTGGTTCATAAAAATATTCGAGAACACAACGCGATTTCGTCTCGAGGGATTAGCAGCGCTGAAAATAAAATTGCGCTCGTCTCGCTGCTCGCGCAAATTGCTCGAACATCGACGCTCTTTGCTTTTCTTTTATTGGACGAAGGGCCTGGCCCGCGAGGACCAGAGGATCCCCGCGGGGGGTTAATCAGAGCAGCAAAAGTGTTAAGGGAGCCATCTGAAACAATTCTCGCTTATATCCCGTGCTGCTCTGCGACAGCGTGGAAAGGAAACCCGGAAGACGATCCGTCGACAATTTAATGGAGCTCCTCATCGCGGGAAAGAAAAAAAGAGAATTTCGAAGTGGATTTGATGCGACTTCGCCGGGGTTATTCCCAGCAGCATTTAATTCCAGGGAAACTTGGCCGCGTAACAATTTCATCGTTAAAACCTCGGGGACCAAACTTCACCGGGACGAGGCCAACTTCGCTAAAAGCAGAGCCAACGCGTCCGGTAAATAATTCAGAAAGTTCAGCATACGCTGTCGCCACGCGTGAAAAATCTTTCCATCTACACGGCGGCCTTTCCGTCCTTGCTGTTGCGTACAGGGTGTCCCGAAAATGTCTCGCAATACGGTGAACAGTTTTAATCCTGAGTTGTTTAATCTTGAATTTGTAAATCCTGAGCTCATTCGCAGCAACTTTCTTCTTTGCGAAAATGCGATTCGCGGCTTCGTTTACGAGTTATTAACGAAAAACGGCGGCCAATGAGAGGCGAGCACTCGGCTGGCGCGAGGCGGCACAGCCAACGGGCGCGCGAGCCGATCTCGACTCTCATTGGTCGCTGTTTTTCGCTAATAACTCGTAAACGAAGCCGCGGATCGCATTTTCGCCGAGGAAAAAGTTGCTTCGAATGATGCCAGGAATCTTCTGTTCCCGGATTGCGAGCTATTTTTGGGACACCCTGTATACACTTCGCGCAGAATGCTCGAGAACAGAAATAACAGACGGCATCGAAGCGGATCAAAGTGACTTCCGCCGGGAGATGGTAATACATACTTCGCCGGGCTATTTACTTATCGATTCGCCACTCCCCCCTCCCCCACCCGTTTCCCCTAGGAACAGGAAACCTCATTAAAATTCCCTCGGACGACGCGGAAAACTTCTTTCCGAACACAATACTACTTCCGCGAGAAATGCCGACGAGCATAATGCCGGCGACACCCTGTCATCTTCCAAACTTTTTTCCCCGCGAACTATGCCGGCCCGGAACGAAAATGTCTCCCCCAACAAAAGTCGTTTATTCTTCGCTGACAAAAGGGGCGCGAAAAGTATCAATTTAGTCGCGACGTGAATTGGAAAGTGAAAACAATAGGGGGCAGCGCCGTTTCTCTTTTTTTCTTTCATTTCGATGACGCGCGGGGAAAGATGGGTCTCGTCCGGAAACCACCCCCCGCCCCCGTCCCGTGCACGTGAAAAGTTCGAAACTGAAAAGACGCGGTGTAGATATTTTTCACGGACACGTTCTCCCATGTTTCCGTTGCGCCGTATAATAATAGTGTGACTCCATTACAAAACTTCGAGGGTTGTTTCCACCCTTCCGGCGCACGTAGAAACTTACAAATTCGACGGACGGACTGTAAATATTTTTTCGGGCACGCGTCTCGCTTCGCCGATGTCGTATGCACGACATTACGATTTTCCCCGGAACTTTGGGGGTGGTTTTCACCATTTGTGCGCGCGCGCGAGAAGTCGGAGGATGAAAAGACGCGCTGTAAATACTTCTTTCAACGACACAAACTGTCTCGTCGTCGTCGATTGAACAATGCTACGATTTTGTCCCATGCTATGGGGGTTGCTTCCACCCCTTGAACAAGGAAACCACGCGTTGAACAAACTTCGAAGCAAATTGCTCGTTACGTTCGTCCTCCTATCTTTTTCCAAAGTAGCAATAATACACGGTACTTATTGCACAGGCGTGGGCCTAGCACAGGGAAATTCACAGCACCCCGAAATGTCGCATTTCCGGGAGAAATTATTGAATTGTCGAGCGCGGAGACGTCGGAAAATAAACGGAAAACCGGCGCGAGTCGTGCTCGTGGCTGAAAAAAAAGAGTTCGTTCGCGAGAAATCGCGGCGATTGTTTGAAAGAAAGGCAGCCGCGCGGCTCGAGCATAATTCGATAGCGGAGGGTGGGTTTCCAGCGGGACGGATTTCAAAGGTCAGAAATAAAGGGAGGAGAGCGTTACCCATTTCTGAAAGAAACGGGGCCGTTACACTTGTATGACAGGCCTCTTGTGAGTTTACACTGTGTGTTTCGCTTCTGCCACGGTGGCTGATGAACGGCGGGGTAGCCTAGTTGAAAAGGATCCTTACCTCTTTTATAGTGGCGTGTGCGTGCGAGAGGGCGGCCTCTTTGTCGGCCAAACTAGCCGCGAGGCTGAGGCTTCGATCGGCTTCGTCCCTCGCAGCCCTCAGCAGGCTCCAGCGTTCCCTCTCCCTCTCGCGTTCCCGTTCCTCCGAGGGCATGCCGACTCCTTGTTGCTGAAGGCGTCCTAAGGTCGCCTCGTTCTCCCGCATCCGCTGCAATCAACGGTCAAAGAGACCCATATCCGGGCAGTAACTCCACCCAAAACCACCACCACGTCTAACAATGCATGCGTTGCTTTACGAAGTGCGCAAACTACTTGCCGCGGGACAAAGCAAACCGGGAATGATTCATTTGTCGGCCGGACGATCCGTTCGTCGTCCTATCTTTTTTCCAAAGTAGCAATAATACACTGGATACTATTGCATAGGCGTAGGCCTATGCACAGGGAAATTCATGGCACTCCAAAATTTCGCATTTCCGGGAGAAATTACTGAATTTTCGATTATAAAATTTTCCTTTACCGGCGACTGACATCGGCCACCCCTGCGGCTCACCCCCGGCGACGATCGCGAGAAAATGACCGCGCCGTTTCGCGGGTCAACGGTTCGCAATTTTCGGATCGGCGGCGCGGAATTTTGGACGGCGCTGTCGAGTTACGACGTGAAATTGACCCCTGCTGAGGGTTGAGGGTAGTTCGACGGAACTATGAGCAGGACTATTGCGTGATTAGTTTCGCCGGGGAACGGGATAGTTCGGCGCCATGTTCGGTGCTTGAAAATCTCGGCGGTATTCGGGTGTCTCGAAGCGGTTTCGTGTGAATTTTGACGCGTGAAAATTGCGCGACAATTGCACAGGGGTGGACATAGTTTCGCGTAACTATGTTGGAAAATTTGCTGGTTGATGATTGTTTGTTTCGGGGTCGATGTGATCGCGAAAATATGTTTTCTTGGGATACTTTCTTGGGGACTCGCCCTGCTCGGAGGGTGATTTCTCATATTTCAAGAGATAAACTTATCGAGAATTATTATAAATGATTAAAAATTATTATAAATAAATATTATTATAAATATAATATATAATAAATATTATTATATTATTATAAATAAAATAAAAATTATTATAATTATCATAAAAGTATTAAATTGTTTAATGAAGTAGTCGGAATTGAATTAGTATCGACGTAGCAATATAAGTTACATAGGCGTAGGGCCTAGTACAGGGAAAATCACAGCAACCCGAAATTTGGCATTTCCGGGAGAAATGATTGAATTTCATTGCACGAGTGAAGATAGAAGGCTGTGCCATTTGCAAAATGAAGTTTATACATTCATTGCAAGATGAATAATCTCTGTTATTTATAACAAATGTTGTACGAAGTTTTTTAATAATTACAAGTCTTGCAACTATTGTAAAATTACTATTTATTTTTCTTTTCTTTTCTTTTGTACTCGAGCGATGGCTGCATAAAATCTCTTTCTATCATTTCTTCTGTAACAAAGGGTTTTCCTACCCCTACACACGAACAAATAAATAAAGAAATAGTTTTCGTAAATAAACTTTTAGTCAATTCCAGCGTGAAATGCCAATTGCAAGATAAAAGAAACTTAGAACCCAGTGGAACGACGTTTAAACCGCGATGCATTTTTCCGTAAATTAGTTCTCCTTAATTAACGCTCAGCCTGAAACCAAAAATGCCTAATTTGCGGTTTTTATAGTTATTGAGTATCGTCAACTATAAAAGCGAGCCACGAGGCTCGAATAATCGGGCAGAAGAGATACGATTAATCGAGCCTCGCGGCTCGTTTTTACAATTGCCGACAATCTAATTACAAAATAATCAACTGCAATCGTGTCTCCTCTTCCCAAAATTTCGTCGATTTTTGTGCCGGACCTGAGCACGCGATTAGGTAGAATCTACACTATATTCCGCGGGAAGTTGGCCGCGCGTTTCCGTGCAGCCGAGTTTTCCGGTCGAGCGGCGCGGGGAACGCGCGGCGGCCGATCGACAGTTTTTAACCCCCGAACCGTTGTCGAGTCGCCGACACCCCGGCTAACACCTGACCGATCCGTCCGAGTGGCAGTAATCGCGTTGTCCCGAAGTTTAGCCGATAAACCAGCTGCAGCACCTGTTCTACGTAGCGTGAAGTAACTTACGCCCGAGGGGGGAAAGATAAGTGGATTAAGTTCTCCGTGGCTGATATCCCGCCGGCTAATAAGCGAAAGGGTACGTGACACCTGTAAATAAACGGGCCGAGTCGCACCTGTATCGAATTACCGTGCCCGATCGACCGGCAACGATACGCTCGAAAAAGAAATCGCGAACTCGATCGCCGCGTCATCTCGCGCGGATCTTTCCCACGCGAAATTGGTGTCGCTATAGCCTGTGTGTCGCCCAGGATCATTCGATACGACACGGTAGTCCTCGTGTTTCGTTTGGGAATTACTTTCGTTGAATTCGATGGCGCGACCGGCTGAATATGAAATTCTATTTCTTTCCAGCGTGGATGTTATTCGATATTTTATCGTTATTATTATTATTATTATTATTATTATATTATATAAAATTATTAATTACTATTATTATACTATATATTATATTATATAGAATTATTAATTATTATTATTATTATACTCTATATTATATTATATATAGAATTATGAGTTATTATTATTATTGTACTACATATTATATTATATAGAAGTATTAATTATTATTATTATTATACTATATATTATATTATCTATAGAATTATTTATTATTATTATTCTATATATTATATTATATAGATATATTATGATTTACGATTATTCGAGCCTCGGCTCTCGTTTCGAATAAGGTAATATTTAATTAACACGACGATTTCACGGATTCACGAACAAAAATGGACAATTTGGGAAGAGGAGTCACCTTAAAGGGTTATTCGAGCCTGCAACGACCGAATTAAAATTGCGTTTGCTTTCAGTGCATCGCCATGATCGTCCAATGCAATATCCTTATCCTCGCGTCTCTTTTTACAATTATTTCACCATCGACGATACGCTGACTGGAGTAAAATCGTGTTCCTTTCAGCGCATCGCTGCGATCATTCGCATAATTGAACGCGACCCTACTTTCTCACACGTTTCATCTTACAATTATCTCGTCAAATTTCCCGGTACAAGGTTAAATTATCTTTCCCTCGTCGATGTACACGTCCGATTCGAATCGGGTTATTTCACCAAAAAGAAAAGAATATTCTCCAAATAACGTACGAATAGTATTTAATAGGAACGTAATTAGTCAAAGGATCAGCTAATGAAAAAACTAACGCGAACGAAGTACACGGGTCAGCGTGCGCGAGTAATTATTCCATTACCGTGCTTTCTTGATTCTAATTTGAATGGGAGATCTCTACGCCGGCGGTTCATCGTTATCAGCCTCTTTTATTTATATTATACACCGCCGCTCCATGTTCCGTGCCTCACCGTACCCGTATCAGTATTTTTATAGCGCGCGTATCTCAGCTATTTGCTGTTTCTCTCGCTTCTAATTACATTCCGTGCTCCCCTCTTAATTATACATTTTCCGCTCGCAGTACGTATCCGCGTTTTACTTTAATACCGCGCCCACAGACGAAATATATTTCCCGAATGCTGTTTTCTTTTCGGCCGCTCGTTAGAGACGTTGTTGTTATTATTACCATGAAGCTCGTTAACGAACACTGCTGATCAAATTGGAACGGAACTGCACGGCTCCAGAAACGGTGCGACGATTCGTACGCTCGCGTAAGGCTCGCGGTTCTTATAAAAACGTTCGCGTTGCTTGAAAGTCGCGAAAAGACGTCGCGAAAAATCGCGAAAAATCGTGAAAAATAATAGTTCCTCGCTTCAGATCTTTTCGAACATCTTCAGAGATATCATCGAGGACATGCTAACGCGGCTGTCGATCATGCCAATTTCCGGAGCGAACACACGTCACAGTTCCGCGAAATCCGCGCGTCCATGCGAAATTTCCTTCGAACACAGCAATTATCCCGAATAGAATTTTCGCATTTCGCATTTTAGCGTGCCGCGCGAATAAATCATTCTAAGCGCGTCCAGCTCGTGATTTATGGAAAATCTCCGGCCGTTAAATATTCGAGAGCGCGTCTCCTCCTCTCGGCGCGGCGCGGCGCGGCGCAACAATTCCTCAAATTTCCTCGGCGTAAGCTCGCCGTGACAACGCGGTTCCCGCGGCATTAAACCGCGCGTTATTATTGCCGGGCCGAATTTTCCCGTGGGTCATCAGTGTCCGTCACTGCGACGAGGGATCGTGAAACGGCGGCCGGTGTCCGCGTTTATCCGTTATCATCGGGTATCTCGAGACGAAGCGAGAGAGCACGCCGGCGGTTCCTCGTAATGGAACATGAAAGGAAACGGACCACGGTCCCCGGGTCTTACAGCAATTTCTCATCCTCGCGGGCACGTCAATTTCCCCTTTGCTCTCCACGCTCTCCTCCGTCTTGTCGGATCGCGCGTAATCCACTTCATCAACGGGGCCGAACGGTGGACGCGCGTCGCCCGTCCGCGTGTTCCCCGGCGAACGAACCTTTCGGGCTCTCTATGATTTTTTATCCGGTCGGCTTAACATCCGCGCTGGCGAACCTCCCTCTTCGCTTCCCTGCCCCCCCTCGGGGTTCTGTTCAAACAGAAACACGCCGGCAATCTCGTCGATCTCTCTCTCTCTCTCTCTCTCTTTCTCCCATATCCCAGGCTCCTCCGTTGTTTGACATCGTAAACGTCGCTGTGTACGCTCCCGCGGATCTCTCGTTGTTTGATGTTTCGCTAACATCCTGCGCGGAAGGATATCTCCACGCGAAATACGAATCGCCGGTTAAATAAATTATCGGCAAATAAACGCGTTCTCCCCGGCCGTTTCGACCGGCTCCACGATTTTCCGGACTTTTCCGCCGGCGAACTTTCCCGCCCGGAGCTACGAACCCGTTGATTCATTGCCCCCGTGTCGTGCATCGTCGCAGTTTAGAGCGATCGGATCTTTTTTTTAGGAGAGCATTTTTTAGGGGGGGACAAGTGTTTTCGTTGCGTGCGCACGTTTGTTTGTTCCGAGCGATTGAACGTTAACCTGCGGGGCAACGGAATTTTATTTCGATTTTGAAGAGCGATTGTAACATTTACCGTGAATTCTTTCTAATCGACGCTCGGATTGTTTCTTTTTTGTGTACAGTCTGAGCGT